ACCCCTTAAACTGCTGCCTCATTATTCAGTCATGACTGTTACGACGAGGTATGTATGTATGAGAGCGAGGAACCGAAGTGTGACCCCACATATGACACATCATGTGGACTGCTGGCCGGCAGACACTGTCAGGCCATCAAACGCTGACAGTTTAGTGTTGGTGGCTGACCCTCGCCTTTAGTTTGCGTGTGTCCCACACCACTGACTCTAGTCGGCTCTCATAGGCGCTGTTTTGGTCAATTCAACATGTATAACTAACACTACCTGTAGAGCTTTATAGTGACTTGGATAGAAACATGTATAACTAACACCAACTGTAGAGCTTATATTGACTTATATAGAAGCATGTATAACTAACTAACACTAACTCCAGAACTTTATATTGACTTATATGGAGGCATGTATAACTAACTAGCACAGAGCAATGGCAGCAGTATTTATACCTGTAGAGCTTTATAGCATGCACCAGATCCAAACTGTCTCAAGTAACACACAGCTGTGACCACATACTATGCTAATTATTTTCAGGAAATGGTATCCTGTCCAAAAGCAGGTGGTACAGCAGGACTGTTACACACACACACTCTCCCGCTCAAAGCCCAGTGGTGTAAATAATGGTGTGTTTCCCCAGCAGCCGGAAGCAGCAGGTTGCCGTGGCAATGGAGATGTCAATGACCTTCTAGATTAAGCATGACAATGATCTATGTTTCTGTTTCCCTCTCAGACACGGTGTAGAGTTCCACATTCTTCTAAAGGTGTGTATGTCATGGCAGAGGTACATCTCACACAGGGGCTTTACAGTTGCTCTTCCAGTTTTCCTTCTTTTCTTTCTAATCTTCCTATTCTCAGCTGCTAGTTCAGACAGTGGTATAAATCTCACTGTGCTGAAAGCGCAATGTGACCTATTTCCTAAAATACACAACACATGAAATGCTATGCTGGTATTTCCCTTCCTCTTACAACTTTGTTGCAGTTTTTTGCATTGTAGCTTATTTATTTAAAGGGACCATATCATGGAAAACTGTATTTTCCTCACTAAAAATAAAAGTATGTAAACATTATTAAAGTTTCAAAGCATTCCATTGGCTCCCCAGTCCATTCGATCCATATATGGAAGCCAATCTGCAAAACGGCTGGTTTTAAATACACTGTTTTTGAGATGTTGCATCGCATAAGGAGATTTTCAGCTTGGACTGCTTTTCGAATGAGTCACAATATAGGACAGTCAATCAGAACTTGCATATATCAGTCTTAAACCCATGGTAATGTAAACAATTCTGAGGAATGAAGAGAGGTTGGAAAATGGTCATGTAAAAATGAATTATGGATGTTTTTGGTACATAAAACCATACATGTAGGCTTCAGGGGACCAAATAAAATACAAGAATAATGAATGATGTCGGCCCTTTAATGCACTGTCCTTCCTTTATTATCTGAATTGGCTTCTAAGTCAGTGGAGTACCTGGTGCTGAAATTAGCAGGGAAGTATATTGAGAAGTATATTGTTCCATTAAATACAGTTACAACTCTCAGAGTGCTCTTGTTTCAGAGGCTGAAAGACAGAGGCAGCACAGTGCAGCAGAGGTGTTAAGCTTGATAATACTACACATAGAACATGACTTCAAATGCTAACGCAATATTCTGGACTCTAGTCAAATTTCTGGCAGTAGGTTATCCCCAGTTTGAAATGATAAAATATAGTGGTCTATCGGTGCATAATGACATTGTGATTTTGCAATGCAAAAATGTGAGAATGCATTGTGGAAAATGGGCATTCTATTAAAGGTGGATTCCTCACCCAAATTAGCACTTAATAAGTTACTTGTCATCTTATGTAATATGCTATATCATAGCATTGCATCCATCAGCCTCATCAGTTTTTCAGAATTAATAGTTTTGTATTTCTGTCCATCATTGTTCTCTCACTACAATACCCAGCATGCATTATGGATATACCTCATACAACCATTGGTTAATGATTAATAAATACAGATGTGAAATTTTGCTTCTTAGCAGTAACATCAGCTATCTGGCTTTTTCAGATAGCCTATGCTCAAGTTTCTGCCCCAAAGCAATTATAGCTTTTTAAAACGTCCTCCAACCTTCAAGATACATCACCACAAGGAGGTTTTCCTAGTCTTTAAACCAGAAAATCTCACTCTAGAGTACTGCAGCACTGCAGATCACAACAGATGAAGCAAAGATTAAATTTCACTTTGGCTGAAGTGTCTTTTTAATCATCTACTCTAATGCAGCTGCATTGACTGACTACCAAAGCTTGCAAACAACCATCACAAATCAGCTACTCATTCATATTTAAAAATACACAATGCTGTAGTATTAAGTGTGAAAAAGAAATTCCAACATAGAGGGAAACAGTCTGCTCTCAATAAGGAATAGGAAAAAATTATAATACAGATAAACTGTCCAGATAGAAAACTGCCCAAGACATGTTGCCTTATTGTGGTTTAGGTAGGGTTTTATAGTTGTACCAGGTTGCAGAGTTACACCCATGCCCTAAAGCCTAGCTCCTGATTTAGACTAGACCTTATCTGATGAGCACCTGAAAATGAAACCTGTGATTTTGTGTCATGGAATTGCCTAGAGCTGAATGTCCCAACCATCTTCTTTCATTTCACTGTTTGTCAAGGTTTCTTGAGGCTACTGCAAGAGAAACTTCACTGTTAAATATAAAGGTTCCTATGTAGTTCTTGGCTTAGATGTATGGTCCTAGGACAAAACTACAATTTCTATAGAACCCTTTACATGATGTGGAGGTGCTTTAAACTTAAAAAAGTTTTCACAATTCACAAAACAGTTCTTCAAAAGTGGCTTTTATTTAAAAGTTATTGAAAAGTGATTCTCCAAAGACCTCTTTCTGACACTTCTATTTTTTAATAGTATATAGTATTAATGCCTCTATGTGTATAAAGAGGTTTTGTGAAGAAAAAAGAAATGGGTGAATTATCAGTTCTGCTCTGAATCCTCTGTGAAACTAAGTTTGGAGTTATGGGGTGATTTGCCTAAGAATACAGCACCAATTGGGCCAATTTTCTGTTATTAAACTTTCTCTTTTTGAAGTTTTAGGTGCACTTTTTAACTTGCATTTTAAACTACATTTTTTTTTACTTAAAACTTTCCTCTTTCAGTTCTCCTCCCTCATAGAGCAGGGTGAGCGAGAGAGAGAGAAAGAGAGACAGGCGTTTCGCTTCGTCACCCCCACTGCTTTAATCTAGCTGGCAAAGCTCCATATTCTTAATACTCCTCAGTACCACATTCCAGAGGCATGGGTGATAAAGTTGGCAATGATAACATGTCTGTTTCACTGGGTGAGAGTGTGTGTGTATGCGAGAAAGAGAGAGAGAGCAAAAACAGCAACACATACTAGAGAATGCATCGATCTGATACCCATTGTCAGTATCAAGCGACACCAGCAGAAAAGGTTGGTGCGGATACAGAAAAAAGGAAATAATTTTTTGCTTTAAACAGCATCATTTTGCACACATTTGTACTGTACGTTTACATTTATACATTTAGCAGACGTTCCCATCCAGAGCAACTTATGATTTAATCATGTTACAGTGGGCGAATGCAGTGTAAGGAGACTTGCCCAAGGACTCTTATTGGTGTAATGTGGTGTGCTTGACCGGGCAGGGAATCAAACCCCCATCTGGGGGTTGCAGTGCAACTTATTACTCAGTAAAGAGTTTGTAGATGTAGTTATATGTAGATTTGTATGTTGTTGATTGTGTATGTGTATATCGTCGTGTAGAGTCGCAGAGTGTATGTCAGCAGTTTGAGCATGGTACTTTTAAATGAACATCTTAAGTGCTTCAACTAAAAACAACAATAGAATTGTGCCGTCCAGTAGCACCACCAGGGCTGTTTTGGATGGCCATGACAAATGTTCGGTTGGACTGAACCCTGAATTCTCTCTCGCAGGTGGTGGCTACAGCTAATTAGCAATGTAAACTCAACTATGAGGCATCTACTAGGCTTTAGCTTTAAAAGAGGTGAAAATCTGAAACTAAAGTGCAGAAAACTCAAAACTCATAGTAGAAAAAAAAACTCACTTTGCACAAGTTGAAGTAATAATGTTACATAAACAATGGACTCGTAATTTATCTCTAATATTATGCCATTCATATCTTTGAATTTAATGAACCATGTTAAGTCTTAAAATAATTAATGTTATATTGGTTCTATTCTGTGTTCAAAACTATAAGCAAACACTTTATAGCTATAGGGATTTTGATAGGTCAATTTTAAAACAGACTTTTTATAGAATATTATGTTGATTTAGTGGATTTGACTTATTTATTAATAATAAAGTGCATTTGAGCGGTCATTTTGGGTAGGCTGTTGACAAATGTGGGTGGGCCCTGGCCCGCTAGGCCCAATCTAACTTTTGTCACCAATGCCCATTGCCTCTTCTGCTGTATAGGGACATCAGCAGTAGGGAATAATCTTCACACCGACAGTTTGATCTCTGTGGCCAAAAATGAATGGTAAAGATCCAGTGTTTTAGGTGATGTGCAATCTAAAGACCTGTTAGACACATAGACTGGCATTGTGAATGTGTTTTGCTGCCATTGTTTAACACAGTTCCAGGAGGCTTGTAGGCTATAGTAGCAAAATTCTAAGCTTTCCAGTATCATTGTTTTGCCTCATTGATGACAGGCATGCCATAATGTGCAAATGAATCCTCCTAATTGTGTCTTCTCTAATGATTTGGCCATCACTCTGAAGCTCTCCTGTGTGGTGGAAAATGTGAAATGGATGTCCCTGCTGGTGTGTAATGCGATTATACGTGGATGGAGAATTATGCTGATCATAACGGGTTTAAATGTAATGTGAAATACTGGATGGCCATGTAGCAAATCTGAGAAAAGATGATCTGACAATGGCACTGGCTGTAGCACGTTTCATGACTTGTTTAATGGTCATAGCATCGTTTACTAGTCTCTTTCTCTTTTTCTCTCTCCCTCTCTCTCTCTCAGGGTTTGGTGGGGGAGAAGTATGGAAGTATTCGGGTTCCGGGGGAGGTGGAGTCGGCTGAGTTTGAGATGATCCTGGATGCGGCAGTGGAAGCAGGTCTGGACACGCGGCTCCTGGAGGAATGGTACTGCCGGGATGAAAACTCAGTACCGCCGGCATACTACCTCAAACCCAAAGCCCAGATGCTGAAGAACTATCAGAACTCGGTAAAGACAGGACAGGATGGGATGGATATATTTAGCATGTCTCAAGTGCTGTGATTGTGTTGTTAGGGTACTCTGGAACGATGCCATAGTAAAAACAAGGTCCTTTAAACACTCCCGTGTTTTTAGCCTATGTTTCATATGGTTTCTATAGCATACATTCATATTTCAAGGTTTGAGCACCCCTGGGCAAATTAAATGTTTTGTTGATTTTCCAAGTGAAAATAAAAGAATACATCCTTCACAGCAGTGGTCACCAACCCTGCTCCTGGAGATCTACCTTCCTGTGGTGTTTAGTTCCAACCACAGTCTGCCGGACCTGCTCCAGCTAATTAACTTCTTCAGAAGTCTTTGACTGGCTTTATCAAATGCATTAGGTAGGTGGGGGACAGCATGTTAGATGCAGGTTGGAACTAAGCTCTGAGGAAAAGCAGATCTCCAGGAGGACAGTTTGTGACCACTGCTCTACAGAGAACACGCTTCTACTGTTTATTAATTGAATGTAATATATTGGGAAAACAGCATAAAGCAAAGTGGCTTTACTCCAAAGAACTCTTTTAGTATCTTTATATTTAAGCGAGTACTCAATTTGTATTGTTATAAGAGCGGTATAACACACAAAAGAAGACAGAATAAGTACAATTTTCCTAGCTAAACTACATGTATTCAACTCAATGTCACTGCATTCAATTCAAGCCTATCAATGAGAAAAGATATGATATGAAACACTAGAGATCAAAAACAGAACTGCTCTGGGCTGTGATTTGCCATTCCAAAATCAGTTTGGCTCAAATAGATCATAGATGACAGCAAATCTGCTATAAGAAAAGTGAAAAAGCCATCCTTATGTCAGCTTGACAATTAAAAAAAAAATCGACTTCCTCATGGTAGCATAACATTACAAACTCAGCATGTCTGAGTCAGAGAGCAACTTTAGTACAGACTACTGCAGGACTCGAGGGATCTTCAAGATTCCCTTGGGAACAGGACAGAAAATAAATGACATCCCCTAGGACAGGACAGGACAAATACAGCAGCACTAGTGGATTAGATCCTGCAGGTTAGGAATTTAACAGGAATGAAGAATGAAAATCGGACGCATTTCCATAATGTAATTAATAATTGTTTTTCAGTGAAATGTACACAGAGAGTATTTTTTGGGTATTTGAAGCATTAATGTTAAGTGGCCATATATATATATATATATATATATATATATACAAACATATACACAAAGCTTGAAAAAGGATAATATTAGAGACATAGAACCCACAGTGCTGTACAATTTCTTCTATATCATACTCTAATCTGAGTGACTCTGGAATACATAAAAAAAACAATTACAAAAGTAAGCATAACATTACTTAACAGTAAGAACACATCATGTAGTGGTTCTTTAAACTTAAAAATGTTCTTCACACTCAACACATCTCAAAAAATCTCTTTAAAGAACCATTTACTATAAGGTTCTCTAGGGAACCAAAAGTAGTTCTCCTATGCTAGCGGTCTAATGACCCCTTTTTGGCACCTTCACACATTTCATTACACTTAATACCTTTATACACCCCTTTTTGTTTCGCACTCACAACTTCATATCTCACATATTAGTTTCATAGTATTTGAGTAGCTCAATAAATCATAGTACTTATGAATAATGAGTCCCTAGGCTTATTATTCTGTTATTAATCCTGAAACTTAATATTATGTAATATTATCTATTTTCTCATCTAGTAACTACTATGAAACTAATATGTAAGTTGTGTAGTTTTATAAAATGCATAGTTCTGCTTTGAGAGTCTGTGTGCCTGTTTACACCGTGCATCAACATGTATTTCATATGATGCATTTCAAGCCATCGGCTCATGTTTGGATTCCACTTGAAAAGCCAGGTGTAAACACGCAGGACACACTGTGATCAGATCATAAACGGATTACTTTACCACATTCCGAGGTTCAACACGATATCCATATACAATTATCTGAGTGGAAATGACTGTCTGAGTAGCGAGTGAGAGGATAAAGAAGGAAATGAAGGACAGAGGATACACAAGGCTAGAGTTATCACCAAATTAAAAGCAAATTTAAAATGTACATTCTGGGCTGATGAAATTGTCCAAGCCAAGCTTGTCGTGATGATCAATGTGATAAAGAGAGAAAAAGTAAACAAGAGTAAAACAGAAACGATGCATGTGTTAATGTGCTTTTTTACACCGGAAAGTACAACTGGATCTCATCTGGTGACAGTAGGCACGATATTTAGTTAAAACTGTAACTGTAATCCAGCCAAAGTATATCCACACGGTAAAAATGATTCAGTGTTTTCACTTAAAAACTTTAGATTTTTAAATTTTTTACGCTAATTAAAAACATCAGTTGCCTCTTAGGTTTTGTGAACATTTTATGATGAATTACTAGAAATAAAATCTTACTCAGTTAACACTTCCTAAGACAACACTATGCTTACAAAGCAAGCAACAACCTCAGCCAATCCGCATACAGTGTTCTTTACCTTATATGCCCGTACAGGATTTGAATCAATATTTGAACCCAGCTTGTCCATGCAGGTGTGGTTTTAGTTTAAAGCGAGTCTGACATGTCCCCTACACACAGATACATCCTGTAAATGTCAGTGTGTGCCAGGCAGGCCAGTGTCTCAGCAGCTTTTAGGTGGCGTGCTATGAAAATGGCTGACCCAAGAGAGCGAAGCGTCAGCCTGCGGGAGAGTTTATTAGCCTCATAAATTTAGTTTGTCTTTCATTAAACCTTAGTGAAAGTGCAGGCGCTAGCGCTCGTTAGTTCTTGCTCTGTTTTTCTCTCTGACGTTTGGTCTCCCTGTTTGTTCCCTCTCTCTCCCTGTCCCCTCTGTACTGTAGTTCTCTAGAACATGCACTCAGTTACACTTATATTCGCAGACAATTACCTTCTTCCTCTCTCTTTTGCCTCTCCATCTCACTTTATCACACACTCGCACTCAGACACGCACACACCCAGTCTCACATCATGGTGTGTATATAAATCAGGTCGTAACACACGGTGGCTACAGTTTGAAGGGGGTTGTGTGTGAGGCTGAGTGGCTCTGCTGGACTAAAATGAGAAAAGCAGCAGGGTCTCAGTTTCTACCTGAACTCAGCAAAATCACCCACTGATCTGGCCCAAAGCAGCCTGTCCCCCTTTCCCAAAGCAGACTGTCTCCTTCTCTCTCCCTCCCTCTCCTTCTCCTTCTGTTTCTCCTACTCGCTCACCCAACTTTAGTTTGAGTACAGGGAGTATTCCTATTAAAACTTATTACAAAATGTAAAATTTCATAAAGTCATGGTAAAACTTTAATATTCTAATCTCTAGGGTTCATATTCAGTTATTAATCTTACATTCTCTGCATAAAAAGGGTAACGTATTGATGTGTAGTACTAAAAGGGTTAGTTAGGTATAAAGGCATAAAGCATAGCATAACAAGGCATAAAGGTTATGCTTTGTAACAATAACAGAACCCTTCTTGGTACCATATACAACTAGTACATGTACATGTAAAATAAGTATTAAAATAAGTCTTTTCTGAGCTGCAAAGAACCATTTAAGCATTCAGATGGATCTTTGAGTTGTTAGGACTCTATATATAGTTGTATGCAAAAGTTATGGCACATTTCATATATATATATTTTTTTCCCCAATACCACTGAACCATTGAAGCACCATTTTTGAAAGCGTGTAGGAGCAGTATTATTCAGTAAATGAGGTTCTGACACTTTTTACGAAATCATTTTCTAGAACTTTTCCAGGAAAAACTCCAGGACTATTTCCTTGATTACATATATGACAGCTGTTGCTCACTAAATTACAATAGGTATAAATGGACACTCAAACTGAAAAAGAATACAAAGAATAGAAGAAATAATATGCTAAAATATGTAAAGAGCTTAATGTCCCAACTTTAAATCTTTTCATGACTTTTGTTTTTGTAAATTTTGTGTCAATCTGACTGAGGCTTTAATGGCCAAATCATCTAGGCACAAATGTAGTCTAATTCTTAACCAGAGAACGAATTATCTCACTACATTGGCAGATGATAATCTTACAACAAGCAAAATGCTATGCCAAAATAGTGAGATAATTTGACTTACTAAAATCGCTTAAAACAAGTATAAAAATGTCTAGAAATAATCTTACAACAATCTCAAAATGAGAAATATTAGATGTATTGAATACACTATGAGCAAAAAGGGTTCTGTATAGTACTAAAAAGGGTTCTTTGGCTTGTAACAATAGTGGAAGCATCTACAGCACATTCTCCATCAATCTGAAGAACCTCTTCACTATTCAAAGAACCATTTAATCATGCAAAGGGTTCTTTGAGTGTTAATGGTTCTATATAGAATCACTTTCTTTACTAAAAAACATTGAAGAACCTTCTTTTTTAAGAGTGTAGACTTAAGATAATTTCACTTGCCCAAATGTATTTTTTGTACTGTTCAAACAGCCATGAAGTCTCAGTTTAAATTTTAGTCAGAGAAGCTTGATCAGTCTGTTTGAAAATCGGCAAACTGCACTGACAGTGATTTCTTCCTCTCTCACAGATGGAGTCAAGCAGTGCTGCAAAGTCTAAGAATGATAAGGCCTGGAGGGCAGTCTCTGAAGAGATCAAGAAAATCTTCAGAACTGCAGTTCTACAACTACAGGAGAAGGGAACCATGAAGAGCGCACAGGCCAAGAAATTCCTCTGCTCAGGTAAGTCTGTTCAAGTCACCTCAAATCTGCATTCTTCTGTTGAAGGATAAGGACTGCTCAGTCCAGGGTTTTTACTGCTTCAACACTATCAAGGGCTTGATAACTAACAGACAGAGGAGTTGAATCGGGTCTGCTCTGTACTTGGCTCTCGAGGACCAGCTCACTCTAGTCTTAACATTACAAAAGGTATTTTCATTGCAGAAGTCAATAATTTGAAATAAACATAAAATGCATAGCAAAGAAAATAACTGACAGGGATTTAAAGTACAAAGAACACAGATGAATACATTTTTGTTATTATGTTAAGAGTCTATTTCAAATTCAAGGTCCAACAAACTTCTAGGGTTGAGCATTCAGCACTTTACCTACCTCTTCATTAACCTTTTAAGGCAAATGCAAAAAGCAGCTACTTGGCCTTTTTATCTTTTCCATTAATATCATGATTTGTCAGTATTTTTGTGCCATTTCTTTGTTGTGTAAAGAACATGATCAAACAAGGCTGCAGATTCATAGATTTTTATTTTGTTTGTGTTACAAACTACATTTTTGATCAAGCAAACACATCGGTTGCAGGTCGCATGTTTACTCTGGCTAAACCAGTCAATAATAAGTGCATTCGGTTGCTCAGAAAATATTGCAGTGCATCCAACAAAAAAGGCAGCATGGTGCTCCTTTTATATAATGATAGAGATAATGGTAGTACACTGGCAGTCACATGCTGATATATTTTGCTATGCTGAATGTGGACATGCACAAGGCCCAACTACTCTGGCGACGAATTTAAACAAGTTAAAGTGCACAAAGTCCAAGTCTCTGAATGTAATGCTGGTGAGACATTAAGTTTAATAGGGCTAACACACATTCCAAGAATGAAATGACAATAGTTAAAACTTATTCAAAATTTAATTAAAATAACTCTTTACTCTATGCTTTCAGACAGAAGCAGTGTTTAAACATATAGAGATGAAGAATGAAAATGTAAATGTCCCTTTATTCCGCTCTCCCTTTAAAGTTATGAGTGAATAGAAATCTCTGACATTAGGCAGCATTAGAGGAGATCTAATCAGACTAACTTAATTCATTCAGGTTAATCCAATGATCCAGTTAAGTCTCACCACCAGACCCTATTATATGGACTGTGGCTTGGTATAAAGAGAAAGAACAGACTTACTTCTGGATTTAAAAAAAAAAAAGTCATTTGTCTGCCCTAAGAACTCAGTTGAGCTATAGTAAATGGCTTTAGCCTCGTAAGAACAACACCAGCCTACCAGTTACAGTAGTTCCTGACTGAGGCTTTGGTGGCCCACTTTCCTGAGCATGGATCAAGCCCCTAATTGTTATACATGGCTTGCTTAAATGAAGTTTGGTTCTTAGAAACTTTGTCTTGTCAACTTGTCTTTGTCTTGTCTTTCAAATTTACATTGAAATTAAATTGTGTCTTTTGGGTTTTGAGTTTTGTTACACTTCAGAAAATAGACTAATGGGCCACTAATTGAGATTGTTGGGTTGCCTCTTGCTGTGCTCCAGTGTGTTCTCTCTGTTGTGTGAAGAGGGAGGTGACCTCTTTGTAAAACTTTCAACACTGACAGTTTTAAGTTGTCAAGAGAGGCCAGACATCTGTTTGCATGATTATTGCCAAATTCACAATAGCCCTCTGTAATTTTTATAAAATTGACTGTTAACAATCAGCTTTGCTATTGGTCACAAAGCACCACTGGACCACAAGTTACAGCAAGAGCACACAGACCCCAAAAAGACCAATATTCTATTGTTCGCAGTTGTTTTATAATGTGAATGGAGGAGAATATTGTAGACAGTGGTGAAATGGAGAGCATCCTAGAGCAGCATAAAGGGAACAGTGTAAATGTAGAACATTCTATAACAGAGTGAACAGAGGACAACATTCTAGAACAGTTTAAAAGGAGGACAACATTCTAGAACTCTGTGAATAGGATACAGCATTCTTGAACAGTGTGAATGGAGGGGAACATTGTAGAACAGTGTGAATGAAGAAGAACGTTGTAGAACAGGATGAAATGGAGAGAACATTCTAGAACAGGGTGTAGGGGGAGAACATTCTAGAGTCTTCCAACAATTATGAACAGGTGGAGTCCCCATCCAAATGTTTGGGTCCGTTGGTGCTTGGTAGCTTGCTTCGGCCTTTAGTTGAGCCTCAGCTAAGTCAAAATGACTAATTAATGCAGGAAACACTTGCACCTTGCTTAAGGGCATTATGCTTGGAATCAAACCTATGACCATTATGAATCTTAAACTAGCACACTGTTCCACTAACCACTTTGAAATAAGGGAAAGATATTAGGCTAATTACAATTCTGCTTTTTTCAAATGACCACTAATACTTCAGTGTAAGAAAAATCCATGTGGGACTTAATTGAGGTTGCGGCTTCCAAGGGGGAGCTTTTCCAGCCACTCTTCTCTCCTCCGTTCGTCCCCTCATCTTCTCGTTAACAAGGCAAGCTGTGAGCTTGCGATACTAAGCTGACAGGGTTGGCAGGCTATCAGTGGAACTTTCTCTTTGGAGGTCTTTGATAAGGCGCGGCAATGCTGGATTAAGAGATCGTATCAAATATGTTTTGCCTTAAAGGCGGCTTTAGGAGACGCATCTAATCACATGCTAAAGACTGCCAAAAACGCAGGGTGCTTTCATCTCATGACAGCAAATTGTGTATAAGGTTTTATAAAGATCCACTGAAGTGCTTTAAAACAACAAATGCTTCAAAAACATGAATGAAAAGCTATTCTTTTGGCAAGTAATAAGTCCTCTCTCTTTCCCTCCTAGCGCTAGAAGACGAACTGGACTTTGCTTTAGGAAAACAAACTCCAGCCTTCCTGAAGAAGTGTGTGTGCTACATTCGCAAAATCTCCAACTTCGACCGCTTTGCCAAGTTACCAGAGATGGCGCGCTATATGGACATTGTCACGAGTGGGGACCGCATCATGAGGAACCAGGAGGCCTACGAGAGGCTTCTAAAAGTCAGAGATGAGTTCATCCCCACTGTAGTTGCAGCGTCCAACCTCCGCGTCTATTCCTCAGTCACCCACTGTGACATGAAGCTGGGCTATTCCCAAGAGGTGGAAAGCCACTATGTGGAAGGCCTGTGTAAGCAGTTCTATGAAGACATGGTGGACATCATTCAGGCTACAGTACAACAAAACTTTGATACAGAGACCGATCCGCTATATGACGAGATCATACAGCACCTTTCACTCTGCAAGACCTATTCCTCATTCTATGTCTATAAGAGTGAGGCACTGGATATGGTGCTGGAGTACCTGTACCCCTCCAAAGGAGGGAGGATAATGCCCCTAGTGGTGTATGGAGGACCTTGCACAGGGAAGACATTGTTGCTTGCTGAGGTGGCTAAACAGGTGAGAGCCATATGTATCCATATGTACTTGTGTGCATGCATGTATGTTTGAAAAAGAACATGCTGCCCTGTATATTTGATGGCCATCTGGACACCTAGATGTATTAGGGTCATGTTGCAGAGTGCCTGCAAGGTTGCCTTAAGCTGTGCACTGCTCCCATGAGCTTAGTAATTGCTGCCACACAATAAGGCTGGGATTAAGATGAAGGTTCTGCTACAATGCTACTACAGTCAGCCTTCCAACATAAATGATGCTTGTGCCTCCACAAGAGCTCCAAGCAGTTTCTGGTACACATACAATCGTTTGGTTGTTTACTAATGAATTAAAAGAACAGTAATAATTCTGACGAATGTGGTCGTGTTTGTAGAGACGATGGGTGTTTACTCTGAGCCGCCAGTCTGTTAGCTACACATACCTTGTACGTACACTGAGTGGCCGTTTATCATATATTATTATATATAGGCATGTGAGATTGTGTGCCGTATATTATCATCTGATTGAAGCATCTAACTGTCGCTGATTGACAATAGTATTGTGAATGCCCATGTGGCAGTCAAGCAAAAACCACTTTCCCAAAAAATCGTTAATATCTCAAAGAGATTTGCGTGCATATGCACCACAACTGACAGGAGAAAGGAGCCATGATTATTGACTGAGAGCTCTTAGCCCTACCACTTTTTGTCCAGTGAGCCATTTCAGCGTGGCTGGTAATGTGGTAACACCACACAGAAACCTGCTTAAACCAGAGAAAATAAATACGCTTTCATTTCTGGTCAAAAACCTTTAAACTTTGTTCTTGGTGTGGCTTGGTATTTCTTACTATTTGTTTCTGTAGGTTTAATAAAACCTGCATTTACAGACTATAACTCTTGATTAAACACATAAAAAAGCTACTGCTTACTCATAACCTACAAGCTACTATTGAATCCTATTATTGTTATTAAACTGGACTACATTAAATTGCAAAATTTAGCCAGTCCCTGTTAGTCAGCTAATTTCACCCACATTAACTTTCCAAATTTCCTTGCTAATGTCAATTTGGATTTGAGATTATTGTGAATCGAATAGCCCTACCTGAATGTCCCTGATGGGTTGAGACTAACACTATCTGTGCATCATCTGTAGTCTCTATATCATCTCCGTATAGTCTCAGTCTGTTTCTGTGTTGTGGGTCAAAGCAGGTCAGGCCGATAGGTTGACATAGCAGGGCGCATTATAAAAGAGAAAGGTTAGTGTTGACATTTCCCGTCGCCCCTAGCAGCCCACCACAGAGCTCAGTTACTAATGTTAGCTCACAGACGATGAGTCTCAGGACCTCGACTAACTCTCTTGTGTAATTTATCCCTCTGTCTCCCTCTCTGTCTCTCACTTAGTTCTACTAATAGACACATTAATATTATATAATAAAATATAGTTTTTAGTTATTGTCAGACCAAATCTTAAGCAAACATCCATTCAAACACATGAACTACCAAGCAGATTTTACAGCCTTAGTGTACGCGTCATGGAAGTTTATGCAAATATGTCACTCCTTAAGAGGTCATGCACAGAACTCTTTACACACATTGAAGACACATATAGTGTACAAAGAGCAAGTATTTAAAACCAGTGACATCAATATGCAACTTACATCAGCAACACAAAAACATTCAAATAAATCATTTGAACATTTATAAGAACATTTATAGAAATGCAGTTCCAGCATAAGGATGATGACATCTTTTAAGCAGTGGGTTTGAGATTTCACTGTGCTGTTAAATTCAGCACTAAAAAGAGGTATTTATTTCATATCTGCTGACACCAAGTAATATTGGGGAGGACTGTGGGTAGACTAGTCTAATTTGTAATAGTAATCATGCAGGTAACATTAGCATACCAGCTAATGCCAAGGAAACAACCTGGTATTGTATTTCAGTCATGTTGCAGGGTAGGTCTATTAATAGTCACAGCTGTTTCTTAGGCTACTGATGATGGGTATGACTTTGGTTAAACATTTAAAAAGAAAGAAAAATGTTTTTTGCATTTCTGTCCGAATCCAATGAAATAATTTTGGGGAAGGGATGTGGACATATAAGCAAGAACTGTGGGTGAACATATTTCATTTATTAATAATTTATTTCATCTTCCTTATCATACATGTTTGTAAAAGTTATATAGTTGTGGTGCCTCACCACCATTATACTGCACATAGGGAAGGGACTGCCCATTGAACTGGCCCTGTCAATTCAGGCTAAGCTTTGGCAGGTAGCCTTTTTCATCGGTTCACACGCTGACACTCTGCCCCTTTACACTAATAAACAGCATTGTTTTTAATTCAGCTGCAACTTCATCTCCCCATTATTTGCCATCCTGGTTACAAAGGGATCTTTCAGCTTCAATGACTTTACTGAAAGGTATAGCAACCAGGAGACAAATGTCATTAACAACACAGCAGCAGGAATCAAAGCTTCAAGCAATAAACTTCAGGTATATTTCAGTCAAGTTTGATTCATTTCTAAATGAATCAGAAATAAAGGCGTTTACCAGAGAAGTGAAGAGATAAAGTAGATAATGTGATGGCCATCACCATCATCTCTTGTGAGCAGATCATATAACAGGAAAATTAGGAAATCAAGTAAATTAGCCATTTGCCCTTGATAAATATGCTCTGAATCAATTCAAATGATTCATGTTTCACTATCAAGTGAAATTATTTAGCTAAAGCTAAACCTCACCAGCTAAGTCAGCTAAACATCATGCTGTACCAGTGTTTTTCTCTGTCACAGAAGACCAACATGCCAGGCTACGGCCGTAAAACAGCAGCTTTTCTGGTTGCCGTAGTGTCCCTGCATGCTTAAAATTCCTACTGTGGTACTTTAGCAACTTTAGTTTTAGGGAGGCCAGTGACCCAGTCCCCCCCCCAATACTGGGTGTCCCAAAAAAATTGACATAATTTGAGATGTGAATATCTGAGTAACTACATGTCCTAGGCAAACACAATTAAATAAGTTTCATGGTGAACAATACAAGATTTATTTATCAAAATTTGAACAAGAAATTCAGAGGGATGTAGATTTTATAGCGGATTTCACAAAGCTTCACTAATGTAATATCTTCCGATACTGGATGTCGTCCAGATCCCTTTTCCCGGCACAGACAGCCTTCCTCTCTGAATTTTTTGTGCCATGTCCAAATCTGGTTAGTTGTTAAATTGGTTAGTTTTTACATTTTGTTAATTTTTTTTTTATTTTGTTAAAATTTGAGATCATTTGAGGGAGAATTGGCTATGTTACTAGACTATGAAATGATGTCAATTTTTTTGGGACACCCTGTAGTTGGTACCTATGTGGCTAACACCAAATGTTGAACTGTGGATGCTCTGATATTCAAGCACATTTCTGTAGTGACCCATAGTACATACCAGCTTTCAAGACGAAGTCACCAGCATCAGTCAAGCTAAAGCATTGCAAAACAATCATAGTATTGTATTTTGTCCACACACATGCACACACGTCTTACCCATGTGTAGTGTGTGCTCATTAAATATTTATATATAAATCCAGGGAGAGACTGCAGTGAATTGCAGTAATAAATGCAGAGCACAACACCAGAACACTTGTAATGAACACACACTCAATAAAACATTCACTTTGGTTTTCTTTCATGTGGGCATGTGCGCACAAACACAGACAAGGGGCCCCTTAGGCAGTCACAGATTTAGAAAGGCATTTTATTTTTATTGGTCAATCTCTCCAGACTGAAAAAAATAATGTTAAAAGTTTCCTAGAAACCGAGATCTCTCTTGACTGCACTCATGAATAAAAAAGTTCAGAGAATGAAGGAGTTCTGTGGAATTGGTTTAGGAAAACCATTGTCACAGTAGGGTAAGACATCTGATGCTGCAAATACTGCTTTTGAGAACATATTATTATTAGCTTTATTCTGCCATTATCCTTGTTTCCCTCTGTCACTGCTACACATAGGTCTTGTCAAGGACAGTTAAACTGGGTTTAATACATAATGGATGGTATTTAGTCAAGTTCTGTTTGCCAGAGTCAAGCTTTTAGGCATGTAGAATTTTACACCTGACTGCACTGTGTCATTACAGCAGCAGGATACAAGGTCTTGTTTAACCTTAGGCAAGACTATAGAGTTTCTTTGTTTATATAATGAACTCTGTGTTTTAAGTTGTGTAATGTTCTGAAGATCTTTTGGATCAGCATCTTTATTTTAACCCAAAATTACCTTTCTGAAATAGAAGAAATTATTTACCTATATGGTATATAATTTCACCTATTTAAGTCACAGAATCACCGAATGATTATTCTTTTTTGTTGTTCCAGGCCTACTCATGTCTTCAGAAAGAAATGGGGCCAGAAACAGATCCTGTGGTCATTGTTCGCTTCATTGGCTCCTCTGACCTCTCTACAGACCTTCGTAACTTTCTCCAAAGTATCTGTGAGCAGATTGCCATCAACTACCGCTGCTTGATCCATTTTTTACCACACAAGATCCAGGAAATGAGAGAATTGCTGGTTAACCTACTGGGAGAGTCATCCTTCCACCGTCCCCTAGTCATCATCTTGGATGCCTTGGAACAGCTGTCAGATGCAGACGACGCTCGCAAACTTTGGTGGCTGCCTATCCACCTTCCTCGAACAGTTCGCATTGTGGTATCAACCCTGCCCAACAAGCACGGGATACTACAGAAATTGCGTTGCCTGATTCATGATGAGGACTGTTACGTAGAGCTGATGCAAAGGGACCGCAAGGCATGTAGCCAGACACTCAAACAACAACTTCTGGGTGTCAAACGAAAGGTAACCTCAGGTCAACAGATATATGTAAATGAAGCACTGGCTAAATGTACACTGCCCATGTTTGTCAACCTTATTTATCGTGAGGTGGTACACTGGCGGTCACACAAAGATGTAGATGACAAGTCCCTGTGCTCAACGGTACATGAGAGTATAGAGCAGCTCTTCTATTCCATAGAGAGGAAGCTAGGGTCTCGCTTTGTCTTCCGTGCATTGGGCTACATTACAATGGCACGTGCAGGGTTGACAGAAGTGGAACTGGAGGACATATTGTCTTTGGACAATAGTGTACTTGGTGACATCATGGTCAGCTCAAATCTAAAGAGTCCGCTTCGAATCTCCTATGATCTCATTGCTCGACTAAAAGAAGAGCTGGAGGGTTACTTGGTGGAGAGACAGGTTCGTAATGTAACTCTGATGGTTTGGGCGAACCGGCATCTGCATCTTATTGCACAAAAACTGTACCTCAGTAATGAAGAGGATGTGCATCAGATGCACAGCCTTTTGGCTGAGTACTTCCTTGGCGCATGGGCAGGTGGTAGAAAGAAGATCTTCCACTGCGACAACAATCACTTTGCCTCATTAAACATCTCTCAGCATCGGAATCCTCATCACCAACAGAGCCTTCATGGGCATGACAAAGCATCTGCTGACAAGCACTCTTATGACCGACAATCTCCTGAACAACCCTGGGTGTTCCAGTGCAACTTGCTCGAGCCAGATATCTTCTTTGTCAATCACAGAAAAATGACAGAATTGCTGTTTCATTTGACAAGGAGTGGGCGGACAGATGACCTAATGTATGGTGTAATCATGAATTTCAGTTGGCTCTATACCATGATAAAAATTGGGCAATTTGACAAGGCCTTGATGGACATTGACATGGCTTACAGCTACACACAAGAAAAGGAGCTCAAGTTTCTTGCTAGCACACTACGCAGTATAAAGGTCAAGGTGACCAAGAACCCTGCGTCACTGTCTGCTGAACTTCAGCAAAGGCTTCTTCCTGTAGTTACATCCCTTCCCAAACTCAGACATCTCTTACTAGAGTGTGACAAGGACGGACCCAAATACTGCTCCATAGTGCCGCTCCACTCTTCCATGGATGTCACTTACAGTCCTGAGAGACTCCCGCTGTGCTCTAGCTACATGCAAATTGTGGAAATTCTACCCACATTGGCCCCCAACATTGTAATCGCAGCTCTTGAGGATGGCTCCATCAGTACATGGGATGTAGAGAGCAGACAGTTGCTGAGACAGATAGACACAGCAAGGTCAGTTGTTCTTGGTGTTAGGCTCACTACAGATGAGAAGTACCTTGTGGTTGCTACCACAAAAAACACACTACTCATTTATGACAACCATAAATCCTGTTTGTTGTCAGAGGTGGATATTAAAGGCTCAAAGCACTGTGGCATCACAGGAGGAGTTGCATTCATCAATGGGTTTACCTTGTCCAGCCACCATGCCTTAGCTTGGTTGGAGGCCAGCAAGGATGTCAATGTGATTGACCTGCTCTATGGCTGGCCGCTGTATCAGTTCCATTGCTGGTATGAGGTAACCTGCGTTGAATGCTCCCCAGATGGAATGTATGCTTTCTGTGGGCAATACCTAAACACCACTACCATTTTCCACCTTGGAAGTGGAGACAAACTTGCCACAATGACCTCTGAGTTTTCTGGGGGATTTGTGAAGTCCATCCTGGTTCTAGACACAATCCACCAAATGGTGATGATTGACAATGAAGGCAGCCTTTCTGTTTGGAATACCAAAGATATCACAAATCCCAGGCTTATGGAGGACTATGACTGTCGAGGGGATGAAAGTGAGGTGGTAGGGATAGAACTGTCAGAGGATCAAAGATCCATACTTATTTGCAAAGCAAGAAGCATTGAGGTGCTTGATACTAAGCTTTGGAAGATGGTAGAAAAGTTCAGGGCCAAGCGTAGCGAAAAATTTGTGGCTGCTGTGCTCTCAAAAAACGGCCAAAGTATTGTGGCATCCATGGAAAACACCTCATCCATATTTGTGTGGAGAAGAGACAGTGGTCAGTGTATGGCTAGTTTGATAGAGATATCAGGAGCCATTGTCAAGTTGATCAAGTCAGCACATCATAACTTGCTCTTGTCTGTAGCTAGCAGTGGGGTTCTCTCAGTTTGGGACATTGACATCATTACAGCAATGTCAAACATTGACAAAACAGGAAAACGAATCCAAAGTGTTCAGCTATCAGGCAGAGAGGACTTTGTGTACACAATGGATGGGTCCGAAGCCATTCATAAGTGGAACTTCAGCACAGGTTTCATTGAGATGGTGTTTAAGCATGAAGGGCTTGTGGAGAACTGTGTTCTTACCACATCCGGTGACCTCATGGTAACATCCGATGACAAATGTAGCCAGTACATCTGGCACACAACCACAGGAGAGAATATCTTCCGGATCAATGGCCAAAAGATATCCCAACTTCTCATCACCCACAATGACCAATTTGTGGTCTCTCTCTGTGAGCAAAATGCTTCTCGTGTCTGGAGACTTGCTACAGGACACAAAGTGTGCAACATCCTGGTAACTCTCCAGCATGCTCTCATCACCACAGCAAACACTTTCCTAGTTGGCACAACAAAAAACAAGCTGTTGGCCGTTAGCTTGTGGTCAGGCAGTGTATCCAAGAAGTTTATCTGTGATGATGGCATCACAATCATAAACTTTAAGCTAATTCCAGACAGTCCAGACTATGTAGTCTTCATCACGTCAACAGAGACTGTTTTCATATGGAGCGTAGCTGACGAGTCTGTCTGTAGAAGGGTGCAGCTACCAAGCAACTTCTTGAAGAACTTGGAAGACTTCCAAATCTCACCAAATGGGAAGCTGGGCATTGTGTCCAAAGGAGATGAGAACATTAATGTCCTAGATTTGCACAGTGGCAAACTCCGCCTTGTCCATGCTGCTGGCATAATATGGAGGCAGAAGCTGTCACGGGATGGACGGTACTTGGTGTACATCTGTTTCCGTAACTGTGACGAGGATGATGACGCAGGCGTGGTTTCTAGTTTAATTGTCATGCGACTCGCTGATGGGAAGAGTATTGGTACCTGTTCTCTCTACAAGACACCAACCTACTTGTGCCTGTCACAACGAGCACTCAACATTATCGTTGGCTTTGAGGATGGCAGCATCGGCACCTACACAGTTGTGGACCGTGTGGATGCAGCCCTTAAAATCAAGATTGCCACCTCCAACAGCCGCCAGATCGTTAACAATGCCTCACAAAAAGTGCGACCCAAGTGTAGCACCAATGCCTTCAAGACCGTTGCTGATTGCGTGTGGAGGGAGTCCACTGAAGTCTTCTCTAGAGATAGCCCCATCAATGTCTCAGACAGTGGGGAGCCAGAGACTACAACACCCACAAAGAAGAGTGAAGTACTGCAGTGAGAGTGCCCTCTTCAGGATGGTAGAGATTTATGTGAATGGGGCCAGATTTGGATGCAGTTGATTCTTGTTTACAGCAACCTTGTGACTTGTTCAGTTGCACAAATCCGTCCTCAGTTGTTGTTGTTACTGGCCATTTACTATAAAAGCTGCACTCAATCAAGCCACTTTCATTCTGTTGTCCCTTGTCGGTTGACATGACTCAGCATATTACATGTGTAATTTCAGAAATATCAGTGTTACATAGATCTTTTACATTGCTCTATTCATTCTGATGGGCTTTATCATGTTTTTCCTATGTAAGTACATATATTTTCAGATGCATTGTTTCATTCAAATCAAGCCATAATGTTACTTTATACAGAAATACATAGAAATGTTATATATTTGTAGCCATAAAACATTTGCTGCCACTTTTTCTTTTTTTAATGTTTAGTCATCTCTTTTTCTTAATGTCGTCTGGAAGTATATGATAAAGAAAACTTGTGTACATGTGTACATATCTATTTTGGCTGCTGCAATTTGTGCAACTCCTTAACAATGTTATGTTGTGCTTAATGCAATCAAAGAGAGTGCCTGGATTTTAAGACCTTTTTCTTATAAATACTAATGACTAAAAAGATGCAGGGAATTTGTAAAACAAAACTATCTTGATACTGATATTCATCAATACAATAAAACATACTACGATGAAACAAACAACAAATAAATCTGATTCATTCAAAGTTGCTGATCATCACAGCAGAATTATTTCAGGAAACAATGTTATAAAGGCTGTTTATAGTGTTATGTTATTGCATTTATTGTATTAAATTGAAAATAAGGATGGAATGGAAATTTTCGCAAGCTGAAAATGTTGCATATTGGTAGTTGGATTAAACCATTACTGAGTATTTAACATTTGAGCATTGTGTGTAGCATCTCGCCAGGAGTATCTACGCCTTAAAAAGTGGTGTCATAAGTTATGCCAAGTTTTGTTTGTTGCTGTTTTTCATGTCTCTAGTGAGGTAAAGTGTGAATGTGTGATAGTTGAAAAAGAATACTTTGTACTTTCATGTAATAAATAACTTGCATAGAAACGTATAGATACGTGTTATTAAAGACAAGGTTGACACAAGCCAGTTTTAGGGATTGCACTTTATTTTTGAACAGTTGTTTACCACAGTTGACTTCTATTGAGTGTAGGCTATGACGCAAATACTCATCTACTAACTGGTGGTTTAGTATGGCCTGTGAAGATTTGCATTTTGCCTTCAGTTATGGGTATATTCCGGCATGCTCAACACAATTATTAGTCATGCCCCATTCAATCTCCTCCATAACTCTAAGGGCTATTCCGACAAATTGTATGTTTACCTCTGGAATTGTTGAGAAATAGGCCCATTTTCGACTAATAACCTGTAGCATTATTCAGGTTTGCCACACTTCACCCCTCAAAGTGCAAATTTTCAAAACTCAGAAATATTATATGGTACTTTGCCAAAGTTTTTTCCTTTCTTGTGTTAAAATATTTGTGTTATCATTTGTGACTTAATTGAACATCATCTTTTATGGCTTTATTGTACCTCCCAGTGTGACTTATGTTAACTATAATAGAAGAAATGTATTATCTTTGCTAAGAAGTTTGAGAAGAAGTCCATATTGTATTGGAATGCTAGTTTTAGAGTATATCTGAATGTCACTATGAGAGCAGAACATGGCATATTGTACGTTATGTGACTTGAATGACTTTTAATTATATACATGTTTGCAAAACATAGTTGGCATACTGGTACTGAATGTGTTTACTGTATTCTTTGTATAGTCAGGACTGAATTCCCTGTTTAGAGATTTCTATATTTTCATAAATGTTGTACTTACATTTTGTTACAAAGTTGTTTTAAAGAAAAAAGAGAAAAAAAACTTCTGTCTGAAGCAATATGAACTAGTGTGTATGCATTGTTTGTATGAAACATTTTAATGTAATAAAATGGTTCTCTTTTTGCCTCTTAACTCGAGTCTTTGTCATTATACTTGTAGCCTTTATTAAGACTAAATACATGTTGATACATTAAACATTGATATCACTAATAGATAAATATTCCTAATGTTCTATTCCTTCTTTTCTAATTGCGTAGTAATTGTTAGAACTGCGTTTAGACAGAGTTCCAACACAGCACAAATACAAACCTGATATAACATGATTTGATAGCAATATAATTGCTTTCCTCCCCAGTGCAGTGAGCAGCCGACAAGCATGTTAATATTTTCCAAACACTGAGCAGGTGCCACATTATGTCAATATCATACTTTGCACTCAGCACCTGGATTCCCCCACTTACACAAACATACTAAAGTAAGCAAGCAAAGTAAACAAGGATCAGTCTTGATGTAAGGCACGTTGCTCACAGTTTGTAGTCTCCATAGCAACTGCTGACCTGAGAGTGGCCCAACTAGACCCTCCTACCATTATGATAACAGCCAAGTAGCACCGTCTTAGTTCTGAGGAAATGCCTAGGAAAAATGACCACACTCAACGAATTGTGTTCCTTTTCTCCGCAAAGTCAGCCTAGCATCTCATACATACTGCTTACCCACATGCAGACGCTGATATGAATATTTAAACAACTGGTATCACATAACCTTTTACAACTCTATTTATAGCTTTTACTTCCTCAGAGTTGACTGGCAATAAATGAATCACCAACCTGTAAGCACTAATTATATATTACACACATTAGCCTTTATCCTTGATGGAAATGATTCATCTGCCGGCTGATATCCAATACAAAAGCTTTAGTTGTACGCAAACGTTTGGGCGCTCCTAGTCAAATTACATTTTGTGATTTTGTTGAAGTAAAAATCCTTCAACTCACTTCTGCACATTTTATTTTAATGCACAATCACTGTTTCTTTGCTGAATTTAAAGGGGACTTCTACCAATTCAAATTGTATGCATATATAAATCATTGATATGCAAACAAAGAGAGGTTGCAGAGTGCAGAGCAGTTTGATGTGAGATGCTCCATTCCAAAGAAACTTGCCTGAGTTGTTTACAGTGGTGGTGTTAGGAATGAGACGTCTGAAGCGTTTAATGCCTCTAAAAGCCGCCTCACATGAAGTTATTGCACAAAATGGTTACAAATACGCTACCTGAAGCCTGATGATACTTTGGAAATAAGATTTTGGCCTGGAACCCATTTTCTAAAATACATTCAGTTTGTCTTACAACACCCTTCAATAAATGCAGGGTGTTGTAAGACAAACTAGTCCCCAGGCAAAAGTTAAATATAAAATCTCAGAAGACAAATGTAGGTTCACTGGTCTTTTTTTTTTTTTGCATTGTAGACATTGTGACCCAATCACCTGTTCCTATTACCACCAGTATAAAGAATTCTGAGTCAGTACGTTTCTCTAAAATTAATAATTTCACTGAATCAAACCACTCTGAATGATATCTCAATGATTGAATTATACAGAAATTATTGAAAAATCAATGAGATTCTCCTATATCACCTTGGGAAAAAATATAAAACATAACATGTGGCCTGTGCAAAAGTTAAGGCACATTTCATATTTTATGTTTCATTTTCTTCCAATTTGTTAATTCACCAAATAAACAGAAATTAAAATTAGCAGCAAAAATGAAAATGTCACATTTAGGTTTGTTCTCTGCTAACTTATTTTTACTTAAAAAATTAACAGAGCATGTAATTCAAGTGGGGGTGTTCAAACTTCTGTATATGACTGTGCAGCCATGTAGTACTGCATACATTCATTCCAGCGTTTACTGTAGATTCAGCCCCTGAAAGACCCTAGTTATTTGTCAGATGAAAAACCCTTGTCAAGTAACAGATTGCAGAAATTCCCAGACATCATGGGACAAAAGAAGTTTTGTCTTAAAGATTGAGGAAGGTGTCAAAATTAGGCCACAGCCACAATGTCAAAAAACTAAATGTACAGTCACTCCTAAAGGAATGCACAAGCAGGAATGACAAACATATTCTCAGGTATGAAAGGCATGTCCTGACTAAAAGGTCCCAGATGGTAATGTCATTTTCAGTTTTCGGACATGAGCACTCTTACGAATTTGTATGTCTGCATATTTTAATAGTCCACCATTTCAGTAGTAACCATATAATGGCTAACATGAGCTTCTTTTTTAATCAAAGTTAATCTGTCAGATAAAGTTCTGATTTGTCATCAGTATTTAGTGTTGGCTAGATAACTTAAGAGATGTAATGTTACTGACTACAAATGAAAAGTGTAATGTAATCTTGGACTATTTTTGATCTAACTACATTATTTGGTTTCCAAAAGTTTGAATTATATAGATACACATCCCCTCCCAGTTCCTTCTTCTCCTAAAACCACACGCAACTACTGTTACCAGTCACAGTGACACAGCTATTATGGAGATTATGAGCATGCTTATAAAGACTGATTTTTTGAAAATGCCTTAACAAAAATAATCCTTATAAACAGAAACACACTAACTAGTAACTAATCTGATTATGCATATTTCAAAGGTATCTTATTATTATTACTAGTGCTGGATTATTGTAGTCAGATTGCACAGTCCAAATAACATGGTCCATTATTAAACAAAACTGTTTTGCTTACATAAAAATGCTGCACTGTAAAAAAAATCATTCAATGTTTTAACTTAGAAAAATGTAATATGGCTGCTTTAAAATTTTGAGTTCTTTGTAGTTAATAAGCACATAATAAGCATAAAGTAAAATGTAGATTATTTGTTTGTTAACTTACTATTACAAGTTCAATTAATTCAAACTTTCAAGGCAACCAGTCTACTTACTTTTTAAGTTAAACATCAAATCATTGTTTACAGTGTGGTATTATAAAGTATGACATATTTAAAGTCTGTCAACCTTTTGCAGGCTGTTAAACCATATACCTCAAATGTCAGTACATGTCAGTTTTGACTGAGAAACTAAACCACCACCATTTCAAACTTATTTCAACTATGCACAGTGCTGAGACCATCATGGACAATAGTAGTGTCTGACTGAGCGTTTGAACACTGAGGTTGGTGTAGGAGTGGCACATTTACCTACAGTGTTTACCTAACCAGCCTGTTTAAAATCTAGTTTGAGGAAGAGCAGTTATTTTTGGTTCTACATGTAGCACCATCCTTTCACCAATATTTGTTCTTCCACTGTATCCTTTTTACAGTGGAATATTAGTGGTGTTCAGTTCGGCTGTTAGCTGACCTGCTTTTATCTTGGGATGATTTCTATCATTAGAATGGCTTTGGCTGACCATACAGGCAGAAAAATCCATATATGTGTTTATGAAAACATCTTTACTAATCTGCTGTCTAGAATGTGACTCAAATGCACCTTTATTAGGCAATAGTTTGTCTTTCCACACACACACACACACACACACACACACACTTACCAACTGGTGACGACAAGCCTGTGGCATCCTGTTGTTTTCTGGCTTTGTGCCAACATCTTTGCTCTTCATCCTAGAGTGTCACAAGGATTGTATTTCTATGAAAAACAGAAACGAAAAAAAAATCTCACATATCAAGTAATAAGCTGCCTGGAAGGCAAGTCAAGCTGTTCAATGTTTTGCAGTATTTCAATTTACCGCTATTACTCTACAGTGTCTCGAAAAAAAACAAAACAAGGACCTTATTTTCTTTAGCAGATTTCTGTGTTGAGTATTTAAAAGGCCCATATTCTACTTTTTTCTACTCTATTTTCCCCCTGAGCTCCATTATGACATTTGTGTGTTTTTTTGTACCATAATTCATTCATCTATTCATCCCAGGCTGAAACACTCTATACAACATCACTGTGAATGGATGGGGCAAAACTGCTGTAGGTTGAATAGGAGGCTTTATATAAATGAGTTAGTTTTCATGACATCCCAAAAACAGTGAATTCAAAACTGGCTGTTTTTGCAGCTAAGTTTCCATATATGGACTGACTAGAATGTTATGAAATTTTATCAGCATTTACATACTACATCACTACTTCAAAGAAACAAGAAAAATTCAGTTTTCCACACTATGGGCCTTTGAAGGCAAGAATGATATACTCATCAAAGATTTTCATTAAATTTGGACTGTGCCTGAAGTACACATTGCAGATGAAGCTACACTGATCAAATTCATATGTTTTCACCTGTGGACGTGTCAGGATACTGTTCATACTGACAGGAGGCCTCATCAGTGAATGATTATAATCACGTACTCATAGATTCACACAAAGCCCTGGATGGATGTAACTTAGTCTGTATTCCTTTGCAAAGAGGATGCTTATGATGTTTGAAATGGATAATGCTAGCCTAAGGGCAACACCTCTGAGAGGAACATATCAGTTTCCTGTTCCCCTTTTTTCATCCAATAATCCACAGGAAAAAGTCAGTATAGAACAGAAGCGCGAATAGGCAACAGTGTCACATAGAGACAGGATTTTAGGACTGTTGCACAACATATAGATCATCACAGCTAGAATCCATAGTATAAACAATGTACATCCACGAGCCATGTCTATTCAAGGCAGATTTCATGAAGGACATAAGGCATTTTTGCATTCACTGCACTGTTACTGTACTTTATGTCCTAGCAATGTTGCATTATTCATATTTGTACAGTCTATTACTGCACTATTCATATTTGCACAGTTACTGTACATTTTTTTACTCTGCATACTTATCATTTGACATATGCTGCTTAGTACACACCACCTACATTTGCATTCTCTCCACTCACTCTGTATATATGTTCATTACATTTATACTTGCAACATCCATTTTTTTTTACCACTCTACTGTCCTTATTTGTACATATCATAACTGTCAATTGTTTACTGTTACTTGTTTTATTTTTTTGCACTTTATATGTAAATTATACTGTATTTTGCACTTCTGGTTAGATGCTAAATGCATTTCATTGGCTCTGTACCTGAACTCTGCACAATGACAAAGAAGTTGAATCTAATCTAATCTAAAAAAATACTATCTATCTCCACTGGAAATGAATCATTTTGGGGAAGAAAAGTACTGAAATTTTATATTAGATCTACTTCACTTTACTTAGTTTGTATGTCAACACAACTTTTATATTTACAGCATATTTACTTATCTTTGATATTCATCTCAGCATTGCTATATTTCATGAAAGCAAGCAGTCATTTACATTACAGAAAAGATCTTACAACCTGCCACTAACTGGATTATTCATTATCTGTAATGAAAAAACCCACTACAGCTTTCAACTTTTCAGTGCTCATAATAGTAAGTTATTTTTTAATTATTAGCAACACTCTATTCTTAATATCCTTGTAGTTTTCCAGAGCCTCAGTCCACTTACTATGGCTGCGTACACTGTGATTTCCATGAGCTAGTGCAGCCTTAGCTGCTGTGTTATAAGCAGACTTGTGCAGAGAACTGAATACTCAGAATAATTGAACTGACTACTCAGAATAATTGAATATTCTCTCCCCCTGGGGTAGCATTCGTATTAATCTCAATGTTAGAGAGTACTGAAGGTCAAAGCACTAGAAAAACATGTCAAAGAAACTTTCAGGATGTATATGTGTCCTTTCATAGCAAGACTAAAATAAAATACATTTAGATGTAAGAATATGATGAATTTACTGCTTGAATACCCACATTAACTCACATGTAGATGTGACTTGGAGTTTAAAAAGGTTCAGTGTTTGGCCCATTGGAGCTAAGCATCACACACTGTGTACCTGTGTATCATTGACACTTTCAATGCAAATCTCTCACCATGCCAGAAATAAAGTAGAATGTGTGTTATGCAACTTCTGTAGCCCTGCTATCTTGCTGAAAGCAGCCTAGTCAAATTATTCATTTGGTAAAAATGAGTTTGTGGTAACTTACGTAATATATACACATGGCAGTATTAGACCAATGACGTATAAGGAAGAGATGGATGCTATTTGTTTCTATTCACCACATGTTTTTGCTCTGTGTATACTCCAAATGTTTTGGGGGCTATTTATGTAGCCCACAACATACACCATGTGTCCAAAAGTTTGACACCCCTTCTAATGAGTGAATTCAGCTACTTGAAGGTGCATGCATTACTGACACGGGTGTTTAAGTATGTACACTCACAGCTCCATAGAAAAGCACTGCCAATACAATGGGACGCTCTGCAGCATCTGAGCGTGAGGTCACCATGCTTAGTGCCAAGCGTCAGCTAGAGGGGTATAAAGCCCCCCAGCACTGGGTTGTGAAGCAGTGGAACTGCATTGTCTGGAGTGATGGAGCTCCATCCAATACCTTTGCGATGAGTTTGAGAAGTTTGTGATCCAGAATTAATCATCTAACATCAGTACCTGAACTTACTAATGCTCTTGTGGCTGAAGGCAATGAAATCCTCACAGCAATATTGCAAAGCCTGCCAAGAAAGCTAGAGGCTGTTACCACAGCCAAGGAGGCACAACCTCCCTATTAATACCCCTGATTCAGAGTCATTTTTAGGCTCTGAGTCTGGTTCTGGTTCTCGTAACTTCTTGCTCTGGTTAAAAAGGCTGTTGTCCAGTCTGCAAAGTCTCTGTCTGAACTTGGTTGACCTGAGCTGTCGCCAACGTGCCGTGTGAAGCCTTTATGCTCAAAGGGGCAGTTCTTTCCCCACCCGTATTCCGACAGACCCCGCCCAATTGTACTCGGATTTGCTAGTAGTACACCACCACCTCCACCACCTACGTAAGGACTGGCTAGTATTGTGTTGCCATCAACACATAAACGCCATCATAGTGCTGTATTTACTAGCGGGAACTCGGATTTTCTATGAACCCCTAGTTTCCGAGTTGGGAGAGTGTCAACAAAAAAGCAGTCACTGATAACCTGGTTGTATTTCATTAATTCAGTAGCCACACAGTAACATTGCAGACTAAAATCATACCCACAGGAAAAAAAACTGATATAAGCACACGTTATGTGATGCTTCTAACTGGATAAAAACATTATAAGCATCATCTGCAATTAATTTTGCTATACGGCAAAATAAGCAGACTCTCTTCGATGGCAGAAGCACAAAAGTGAATACATTATTTCCAGCGCATCTATCCACTCCAACACAAACCAAGTCGTACTCACGACCTCCGAAGTCGTAAGCAGGAACTTCCTCTGAGGACCTGAGGGCAGCGTTATTCTCCAATCCACACAGGATTGGCTAGTAGTTCCTGAAGCAGGCCGGCAGGAGGCGGGGCTTGTCGGAATACAGGTGGGAAAAGAAAGTACCGCCGCTCGGGGCCCTCTGTGTTTTGGATAGCACTCCCATCTGAAATTCAAATAGACGTGTCGAGGAGACATGGGAGTCCGGAGTCACCCGGGACCTTCCCTCCTCAAGAGGAGCGAGCCAAGGAGAAAACACAGCGAGCGGAATCAGAGCCGCAAAGCCGGCCGTGTGTGAGGAGGAAGAAAGTCAGTGCGATGCTCCTTACTTCCAGGAGAAGTCTTTGGACTTCTTCGTATCTCTTTGATTTTGTTTACCTCAGGAGACTAACCACAGGAGAAGTAAATGAACACTTGGGGTTATCCGTGAAAATACAGCACCTCCGGCAAACGCTCGCCACACCTTCATCATCACTCTAACAGGTAACCACCGCTGAGGGTCTGTAACTGAAACTGAGGCGTTCAGGCTAAACTTTCTGAGAGTTTTCCCCTTATTATGCTCACAACACTGGAGAGAAAGGACAAATACACTTTCTAATCATTTCTGACTCGACATTCTTCACTTGTCGAGCTCTTCTCACCTGTTGCCTCCATGTTTCAGCTCACGGTAGCACCGAGTGAAGCTGTAGGCTACTGACCGAGGAGTTCTTTCTACTGAATGGCTCACCACATTAGCCTTGCGAAGCTGTAGCTGCTTTTTGGAGGCTTTTGCCTTATTTTGTTTATTTTGTTACAACAAGTCGAACAAATGTTCAAGCCTAACCTTCCCAAAGGTGCAGCAGATGGCTGTAAAGGTTTGTGTTGCTCGAGGCTAATTGAGCCTGAGCGTGTTCAGGTGTTCAGCAGGTCGTTTTGAGAGCAGTCGGAGGATATTTCCTTCTATATATTTGTTTTTTGAGCTTTGAATCGTCCAGAAGTTTGTTTACGTTGGCCTGTCTAGTTAAGCAGCTCTTGTGTCGGCTCTGGTCAGACCTGTAGGACCAACTTGAGCTCATGGACGTGCCTGAGGGGAAGTTCCGTGCTCAGTGCTCGATTTCAGATATTATTGCCTCAGGCTCCTTGAAACATTTTCCTAATGATAATTTTAGATGTAATTTTAATAGTCTGCTTTGGCAAAGGCTAGAAAAGTACGCAGGAGATGTTAAATATACACTGCTCAGATGTAGACCTTTTATTATTCAGAGACCATTTCATACCACTGTAAAGGATTATGGTGGAAAGCTGTGTTTGTGCCTGTTACCTGCATTAGGCTTGTTATTTGCTGTTCGTTTGAGGGGCTGAGCAGGTAAATGCAGTTTGCCTGCATGTTTACTTTGAGAGACTGTTTACAGTGTTGTGGATACTAAGGTGTGGTCACTAGGGTGCTTTGAAGAGCCGAGCCGACCGTATACTATTCTTGGAAGAGGACGTTTGCATTAAGCTCAGGTACTTCAAGAGTTCACACTTTCCATGTATGCATATGAGTGTATAGCCTGCCCTTTGACGGGAAGACAAACATACGTTTCATGACTTTCAGGAAAAAGAACTTTGGTTTTCCTTTAACTACCAGCATACATTCATTATCAGATGCAAACACGGTTCTCTCCCTCTCTTTCTCTTCCTTCTCAGTCCTTCCTTCCATAACAAGCCTGGAAATGTGGGCAGCTTTATGGATAAGAGTTTTTACATGTTTGTTTCTTTGTTTGCTGAAGGAATCTTCTCCCCACTGGAGGTACCTAAATAAAACAACATTCTTACGGCATCATCTCCACATGATGTACACCTGCCCATAATCTTCACTTTATGCCTCCCATTCTTATAGTATCCTGGCAGTGGCAATCAAAACTGTGCAACAGGGCTAAGTTCCCCCTTTGACAGAGCTGTTGACACATTCTCCCTGTTGACACAACAGCTTGACCTTGATAAAAAGATCTTCTTAAGTGCACATTGTTAAACTGTGTTAGCATGCCTGCTACAACCAGCATGCAAATACAAATGGAAATGAAGTCCTTGTCAACAAATTGCGCTTACGTAGTTAGAACGTGCTGGTCAGTACTTTTGTGTTAAGGCAAAGAACAAACAAGGAAGTTGGACTGATGCTTACTGATGTAAATCGCCTTACAGTAATTAGAATGTTTAATCATAGATGTGAATGAATTGTTGCCAGTAACATTTTAAGATACAGCTGCTGTGTCATGTACTTCCTTACAGTCTTGGAAATAAGCAAAGCAGACTGAGAGTAGAGTACCCTCTTAAAGCTTCCAAAGAGGGCTTTTTGTAGGAGTGCCATCAAAGAACCACTTTTGATTCACTAAGGCACATTTCTGTGGGTGGTTCTTTAAAATTTCTAAAGTTTAAAGAACCTCCATATAATGTGAAATTTCAATGTCAAGCAAACGTTGTTCACACTTGTGTCTTCTGAGTTTTTATATGTAAATCTCTGCCAAAAATAGATATATTTCAGCCTAAAGCATACCTCACTATCATAAAACAGTGGCTCAGACACTGGTGAGTGTATTCATAACTGTTTTATATATTAGCTTTCGCGAAGCACCTGTCACCACCACTGTGAACAGTTCTGAGTCAGTAAGGAGCATTTTCACATTTCATTTTACTTTGAGTATATCTTAACCACATAATTACGCAGGAATTTTGAAAAATCACTGGAATTTCCCTTTAAGAGTGTAGAAAGAAGGTGATCTAAATATCAAGTAAAGAAACAAACTTTAAATTAAAAGGAAAACTGTCAAGATTAAAAAAATCTTCAAAAATCTGCAAAGTTTCTCCTCTTAAATAGCACAATTTGTTAAGTTAAGAATAACTCAGCCAGTCTCTGTTGTTTTCACTGTAGTTACTGAATAATAAACCATAGGTCATAATAAGCATGTCAATTTAAGGGGTTAAATCACATTGTTTCATGTGAAAACTGTCTACTGATGTATTATAACTCAGAAACCTCAGAAGAATGCACTGAAAAAGTGTTTCAGGATTTTAAGGTGGTTTCACACAAAAAAATCTGTTACCTCTACACAGTCGCTTTCTTCAAATTTACTTCTTTTGGCAATTATTGTGTTCAAGTAATACATTTTATTCATGTGTTACCACTTGAAACAGTTAAAAGCACAGTTGTTGGGCAATAATGTGACAGAGCCTGTACAGGATTTACTCTCTGTATGAATCCATATAGGCCACAGTGAGATCTAGTGTCAGTGTGGAGCATTTTCACCTAGACATGAATACCTTGAATGTAGTATGGCATGTGTTTGTCCATTGGAAGGACAAAACATAATTTCATGAGCTATGCAATACACAGTATGTTTTGACTCATGCAGACCAGGTTACACCACAGTAAGCTTGAGCTTGATGGTTAAGGACAGCGATCCCTTTTGTGTATCAACTGAGCAGATGCACACAGGAAGCACTGCTGATGAACGTCTTTTGTTTTGTGTGTTTAGCAGCCAATTAAGTGATGTGGACCCTCTCCAGAGGGCTTACTCTGTATGGCTTGGTCGCCATGAAACAAGGTCTTAGCAACAGACTCCAGGGCAACACACCTACCCTACCTGTCTTAAACACCAGTATGCTGCATGAAGCTTGAACAGGTCAATATATGACCATGACTTATACGCCGTCCTCAGTTCTGAATAACGCTGGATAATAAAGGACGCACACACACACGTATACACGTACAAAAGGAGAAAGTGGAGAGAGAGAAGCAGACTGTGGGTGGAAGAAGAGAAGAGCTAATAGACAGAAAGAGATGTGAAAAGAGGGAGATGTTAGACCAGTTTGCGCACCATTCAGATGAATCTGATGTCCCTGAACAGTCACACGTCAAGACAGTTGAAAAGCATCCTTAACCTTGAAACAGATTTTATAAATCTGCAGTGTAACACCCAGATCTAGGATGATCTTTAAGACCATTTCAGTTAGATATTTGATATTTCAGGTTCATCCGTATTCACTCAGTAAAATGAAACCAAGGCTTGAAAATATGTCAAAATGAAGTGCAATAGCATTTTATATTGAGGTAACAAAAGTCTGTATATATTATCTCTGTTTGATTAGATGACGTGTGCCATAGTTACATGTCAGCTTATATGACTAGAGTGAATCTGATCAGTGTCTGTTCACACACAGATAACCATTTGAAAAGCACTCCTAACATTTAGCAAACCTAAACTAACTTCACTACTACCATTTTTGCGGCAAACGTAAGGGCTGTACTGCTTTTCTTGGCCTTCTTTTGATGTAAAACATGTATATACCATGTTAGTGAATAGTGGAATTTCATTAAAACCTTTTCAGAACTTTATAGGAACTTATGAAGAATTGTTAAATATTATTTTTTATTCTGGCCCCTACTGGATTTACCATCCTGTTATTGCCAATAAATTTTATTGTCTTACATTGTGTCAGCTTCACTTTTGAAGTTCAGTAAAATCTAAATTTTAGGGTTAAACAGATTAACTTACATTTTTTAGCCCCTTAAAATCCGAGGCTTGTTACATCCTAAGGTTTATTATTAAGTAACTACATGAACCGCAATGCAAACTAGGGGAATTCTTCAAAATTTCTGCATACTTAAATGGTTAAAATGCAAACAAAGTCTTAAAGGCAGCATGGTCTGATGTGAAATGCACTATCGTAGAGAAACTTACCGAGTCAGGATTGTTCACAGTGGTGGCGATAGGAACCAGATGTCTGATGTCTGCTTTCAATGCCTCTGAAAGCTCCCTCACAAAAAGTTATTACATGAAATGGTTACAGATATGCTGCCTGATGATGTATTTTTGGTCGAAAGTGTATTTTTTTAAAACCATTTCTGGAGGACAGGTACACGCAGGGCGTTGTATGGCAAAATAGTTCCCAAAGAAAACTTATTTTTTTGGATTCACACCTATCAGTATTATAAAAATTTAGAAGACATGTAGGTTTACTGGTTGTTTTGTATAGTAAATAAAAAGGCTATATCTGCGTGGCAGACATCATAACCCTTGGTTCCTGTCACCACCACTGTAAAGAAATATAATTCAGTAAGTTTCTCTGGAACGGACCATCTTACATCAAAACAGTCTAAATGGCTTTGTTTACATCTCAATGACTAAATTATGCAGAAATGTAGAAAAATTGACCGAATTCTCCTTGAAGAAATGTTGTAATAATAGTCCATTTAAGGGGATTAAGTTAGAACAGCAAATTATTTTTACAGTATGTGGCAAATCATTTTTATAGTATGTACCTGCACATCTGACTACTAATCAATAAAAGTTCAGTATGAAACTTGAAAATCATTTCGGCATTTCATTACATGTAAAAGTTTTTAACCCAAACAGTTGACAAATTTGTGTTCAGTCCACTGTTACACAAAGCATAGGTTAGAAAAGACATCACAATACACAAATGGGGCAAAAATTCGGTGAATGAAGAATACAGAAAGCAAA